CTACCTAGTTATATTATAAACACAAGTAATTGATATGAGCAGTGAACATTGAGTTTATCAAAAGGTAATAAAAAATAAAATAGATTTCTTTCAAGGAATTATAAATAATTCAATGAGGAAACACGAGTAGAATAATCAATATGGGAAAACAGCCTAATGTGAAATAATTCATATTCAATATAAAAATATTCAGATGATTCCGGCTATATGAAAAATCATATAATCCTGTATTTGTAGTTCATTTCACTGAATAATTTTTCAATTGATTTTTGAATTTGAGAGCAGTTCAAGATTTTTTCAAATATTGAGGAATATTATGCAAGTATATTATGATTCCATCATGATATTGATTGTTGAATGAACGGAATAACAAAATTTTTGTTTGTATAGTGTGTTCAAATCTAAGAACTGTTGGTTCTGAGTACGATAATTCAAATATGCATTCATTTTATAGTTTTATTTTTATTTGTGAAATTATAAAACAATGATGAAAATAAAAACAACAATAAAAATTAATTAGCGCTCTGGGGCGCATTTCAGTAGCGCATTTGCTTTTTCAGCTGCAGGAAAACCTGGGAAAACCTGCAGCACCACATCATCTGCAGATCTTATTCTGCCAACGTCCTCTCTCCCATGAAACAAAATGTAGGGTGTCCCAGAGGCTCCAATAGATTAAATACATCGTCAGAACACTTTGTGACACGACTATCGTCAAAGTTAAACCAGTCCATTTCGTCTCTGACCAAGACGTAATAATCACCAAATTCAACGCCAGAACCACAGTGAATAATGACTGCATGAATATTATAATAGTGTTCTGCTGGATTGAAATGTTCATCTACCTTCGAAAGAGTTTCTTGCTTCCGTCAGAGGTTGGTTATTAGTCATATTAGGAAACGCTAGATGAAGTTCCAGAAATTCACTTAAGTTTTCGCTACCACTTAAACAATTACTACAAAGTAAACATGTGAGAATTTTTCCAGCGAAATATTTACAAACACAAGACGAGAATAAGTAGGAAACATTTTCGTTCTTGTTCATCATTAAAACCTCGTTCTTGAAAGTCTTCGTCATGAACAACACTTGTAAAATGCTATTCATGTAGCAAGTGTTTCTTAAATTATTCAATCCAATTTTTTTCTCTAGATTTTCAGATTGTTGTTTTTATTTTTATCGTTGTTTTATAATTTCACGAATGAAAATTTGGAAGTTTACTTCCAGGGAGGAAATGAAAAAAAAAATTTGTTTGGTAAAGGTTTTATTGTGGATTCATTGACTGATCCCCAAATAGCAATAAGATAATACAGTTGTGAAATGTGGAATGAATATTTTTCCAAAAGTTAGGAGAAGTATAGTTTCTGATTTTGAATTGAATTCCAATGAAGAATGCTACTTTTTACAAAAATTTCAATATGTTTTCTCCACGATGAATTCTCATGAATATGTAATTTCAGAAATTGAATAGAATTGGTATAACTGTTCAATAATCTTTTAGAAATATTTATGTATGTAGATTTTTGAAAATAGATTTTCAATAGAACTGGCCGATACTCCTCTCTTTTGGCTAGGATGGTGGTTCGATAGTGCGTGCAAGTATCTATCTGTGTGTGTGGGTTTTCGATACACTTTGTGGGTTAGTCTTGTATCATATCGTTCTACTAGTACATCTAGGAATGCTATCCGTTGGTCTTGCTCAATCTCCATGGTGAATTTTATGCTCGGGTGTTGGGCGTTTAAGTGGTTCAGGAAACGGTTCAGGGAGTCTCTTCCATGTTTCTAGATGACGAAGGTGTCATCCACGTAACGTAGCTACAAGGTCGGATTCAATTCAAAAGTGTCTATCGCTTTTCCTTCAAATCGTTCCATGAAATAATTTGCTATCACTGGGCTAAGTGGACTCCCCATCGCAACGCCATCTAGTTGCTCACAGAAGTTTTGCCTCCATTGAAAGTAACTTCCTGTGAGAAATGATCTTAAGAGTTCGACGACGTCATTCGGGAACATGTGGGCTAACCCCCTCAGAGAGTCTTCCAGTGGGACATTGGAGTGGAGTGGAGTCATCTCCACTCTAACGGAACGGGCTCCGAGAATATGTGAACCAGAACATCTGGAGAGGGAACTGGAACACCTTGAAGTGACCTTGGGATCAAATGGATACAGTGCCTCCGAGATCAGAAAAGCCATGAAACCGAAAAGCAACACGGTTCAAAAAGCGAAAAAGGATCATATGGTTGCACGCGCATATCTACCGTTTATCCCTAGGGCCACGGACAGAATTGGAAAACTATTGGATAAACACGACATCGAAACAGTCTTCAAACCCACCAGGAAGGTACAACAAAGCCTCAGGTCGGCTAAAGACAAAAGAGACCCATTATCAGAATCAGGGGTCTATCGCATACCGTGTACTTGTGGGAAGGTATATATCGGAACCACCAAACGACCCATGGGAACAAGACTGAAAGAGCATAAAAGGAACTGCAGAACAGGCAAAGCGGACAAGTCAGCTGTGGCAGAACACGCACTTAGTGAAGGAGACTACACAGTCTTGTTTGAAAACACAGAACTAATGGCCCCCCACCAGGGATACTATAACCGACTGGTACGGGAGGCAATTGATATCCACAGAAGAGAAGAAGCGGTGAACCTCAACCGAATATGTAACCCTATTTTAAGGAATTTGAAAACAACGAATAGAATGACAACAGGCAGCAAGTTTGTTAATGTTCCAGATTCCAGTACAGGTACAAGTACAGGTACAATTGCAGGGACAAGTACAGGTACGAATACAACTGATTACCTGACAAGGTATAAATACGCTTTACGAAGCCTAAAAGTTAGTCATCGGACAGCAAACCATGATGGTTAAACCTCTGAAGAAGTTAGCCACTCGCGCCAGCGAAAGGTCATGAAGAAATTCCAAAAGTCCACGGTTTTCAGATTCGAAAAATAATGACACTGAAAACCTCAGCCGCGAAAGTCTAAACCATTTGGTCTATGCAAAACATAAAAAAAATTTTGTGCCGTATAATTACAGACTTACCCAGTGCCTTTTATCTGATGACCAAAAAACATTTGTTGATGGATTGTGAATGCTAAAAACGCTAATCCTGATTTCCTAAGACAAATGCTATGGAATTCAATTTAAAGCATCGGAGCATATATAACAGAAAAAAATCATCATAATTAGAGTAATGAGAACCTTAAGCGGAACATTTTTTGTAATCCACAGATACGTTTCAGCATACATGTATAGTGCGGTCTCATTGGGTATCAAATCTTCGGACCAGTTAATACTCGAAACTTTGAAAAGTTTGTAATTTGACCATTTGAGGTTCACTGTTACCAGAAGACCAGTTCGTAGACCTCCCCGTTGTCTGGGTGTTACACCTATGGATTTTCTTTTGATAGTTTTAGTCATCACCTGGTGATGTCAACTTGTTTAGCGGAACGCGCGTCGAGAGACAGTTTTTTGATTTGGTGTGGGAAGAGTGTTCTAACAGATTCATTTTACGCTATGCATTTACCAATTATACCTATCAAACTCGGTAAATCGTTGAAAACATTTTTATTTTACCGGTTGCTGAAAATTATAAATAGCAACGTTCTCTTATCAAGAGAACTCGAGAGAAGTCCAGACAACACAAGACGAGATAAACGCTACTCTTGTCAAGACGAGAGAGACACTTTCTCTCGACTTATTCGAGACAAGACTTTGTCTTTTCTATTGTCATGGCTATCGTGACAAGACTTTCGACGACGGGAAAGCACCGGAATCTAGAAATGTTCGTTATTGGTACTGGTTAGCATACATTATTTCGACACAGATGAGGCAGTCATTAAAAAGTATCCAAGATCTACGGAAGACACTCAACTCAACTGTAGATTCTCACGCATCCTGCCCCAGGCTGTATTACCTAATTTTCTAGCTTTGTTAATAGTATCATTTTCCTTACTGAAATATTCAATTGACCAATATTTTGATACCAAAGTTGCGATGAGATTGGAAAATTATAGGTGACAAAAATACATGTGGGGTCTGCTTTGGATGATTTCCAAAGCAAGGATTTTTCCCAAATACCAGAATTGCAATAATCAGGAGATGAAGAAGAAAACTTAATTTCCTGAAGACATCAACTTGGTTGATGGAATGCTTGTCGAACACCGTTACACCTTTTATTTGGTTGATTACTTATTTAAAATAACATTACAACAACGATCAAGTTCAACAGAAAACTAAAATGAATACTTTTTTTAAAGGAATTTGGAAGTGATCCTATTCTGGTATGGGGACCGGTAATTGAGGGAAATTTTGGACAACAACGATTTTTGACAGATCACCCCATACGTCTTATCATGAACGGACAATTTCAGAAGGTACCTTTTATTACTGGCCAAACCCACGACGAAGTAGGACTGAAAGCATTTGGTGAGCGAATAGTTGAATATAGCTGAATACAGCTGAATATAGCTGAATATAGCTGAATTTCATAATGAAAAATGTTTAGTGTTATATATTTCGGGTTTTCAGTTGACATATTGATTTCCATGAATTCCAACTAATTCATTTCCTTCACACATATAATGAAGGAAAGAAAATGAATTTGTTGAAAGACATAGAAATCAATAAATCAAATAAAAAACTCGAAATATATAACCCTAAACGAGCAACTCGATTTATGTAGGTCCCCACTCTTGAATGTATAAAAGAGAAACAAAGAATAAATGTTTGATAATACTTGTATATAGCGACGTGTGCACTACTATCTACCCCACAGAGTTAGGTTAGGTCAGAAGTGAGTGGGCCTATTCGACCCTCCTCCGCAACCCGCAAGGGTTTATTGTGGCTCACACCTATTCAAACTCGACCAAATAAACCCAGCTTCTTGACGAAGACAATAAGTGTATATAGTGAGTGATCTTTCAGGTCAGATAGTAGAAGTGTGGTTCTACCAAATTCTGAAAACATGATTCGGTCCACAGCGGGGCAGAATTACGTTGTGCTTTCAGCAGTCTGGGGTTTGTAGAAGCACCAGTGATGTTGAACTAGTTTTATAACTCTGACTAATTGAACTTCACACAAATAAAAGTTATTCGGACCTCACTATGTGCTTTATTCAAATAGAAAGCTGGTCACAAACTAATTGTGTACAATAACAATTCATGTGCTTATATAGACACACTATGACATTGGTAAAGGTAAAAAGATAATTTAGATAATTTACGGGAAAAGGTCTTACTATGCAAGATAATTCCTGGGTAGAATTCATAATCAGCAAAAGATAATTCTTGGTTAAAATGCTTATGATATGTTATAAGTTGTAAACATCAAACGATGTTTGTAAACAATTAAGAGATAAAGTTCGGCAAGAATGCAATGTCAGCAATTACCGGTTTTTATCTATAAATGAACAGGTTAGTCCAGGCTTGGCTCGGGAATAATGTAACTGCAGGCACGAATTATATGCTTATCATTTCCCAAACAGAGGCGACACACACTGTCCCCGTCTCTGCATATGATTTAGACGACAGTGACCTGTAAGGAGGCCTGTTAGACATCGTATTTCATCCCTGCTGTAGTCCAACAACTGTTTGGTTTCAAGTTTCGAAGGGTGAATGAACGCCTTGGAATGAGCAAATCCTGTAAAATTTTGCCAGAAGTCTTCAAATCTTCTTGCCATCCAGGTGTTCAATATTTGCTTGGCAAAACCTAAATCAATGCCAATGACAGGTTCTCGTCCAATGAAGCTACTTGCAGCACCCTTCTTTGCAAGGGAGTCAGCAGCCTTATTGCCTTCCAGACCAGTGTGGCCGGAAATCCAGACCAGAGAAAATTTGTTAAATCTTCCTATTGAGGAGAGTCGTTTTTGGTAATTTGCTACACCTTGCGTTGCTCGGTAAGAGCCAAGAACTTCCAAAGCCGCTTGACTGTCAGAGAAAATTTAATTAACTTGTGTGTGTGTCGTTGTATTCTACCAATCTCTTTCCATAGACTAATTCTCATTGAAATTTGTCTCAAGTCAATATCGTTGCTGTTACTATCTGTGAAAAAAATATGTAAAATTAGAGTTTTTGAAATCCACATTCCATTTGGCCAAGAAAAATGATATGAATTTGTTTTCAGATTGAAAATTGATTTGTTCATAGAATAAGAATAAGAATATGTATTTGCTACCCTCTCGAAGCGAAACATACCATTTGATTGGAATCCTTTAAATACATTTGAAACATACAAGAAATGTTCGACGACTCATGCCCTTTTTTAAATGTTATTATGAAACCACAATATATTGTTTTCAGAGGTGATAGATAATGCAACTTTAACACAAGAAATGAATAACGATTTTGAGAGGATAGCGCCTATTAGCTTCGTTTATGAAAGAAATACCGCCCAATCAAGAAAAGTCACTAAGGCAATCAAATCGTTTTACTTGCATGACAGACCTGTGGATAAATCTCAGCTGCTTAATTTGGCATATGTGAGTATTGATATTTATTGATAACAATAGACAATAAACAACTAATCTGGTTATCACAAATTGAACCGATTGAAAAAATAATTCAGAAAATGATTTAATAACAATTTTCAGATCTACGACGATACGATACAGACTTTTGTGAATAATCGTGCAGCTAAACTGATATCGCAATATGGCGACAAACCTGTCTACTATTACTGTTTCACGTTTCAAGGACGCTATAGTAACTTCTACCTTCCTGGAAGCAACAATACTATACCATGGGGTAACATAATATTTTTTCTAATTTTGATAACAAGCTCTTACTTGATTGGTTCTCTGAGTGTTGTTTGAGTCTGGTACCTAGATACACTACAAAGCGATAGAATTCGATACTTGCAAATCGTGGTTCATGTATATCAAACAATTTTTTTTTATAACACATTGGCCTAAAAATCCGGGGCCTAAGAAAGAAAACGCGTTTGTTTTGTTCAAAATTGGCGTTAATCACCAGCCACACAATCATTTCAGCACCGCTCTAACACTTCAATACCACTTTTGTAGAACGATTTATCTTTTGCACCAAAATAAGCCTCAGTTTCAGCAATAACCTTTTCATTTGAACGAAATTTCTTACTGGTGAGCATTTTTTTGGGGTAGCCAGTAGTCGCTGGGAGCCAAATCTGGCGAATACGGTGGATGTGGGAGCAATTCAAAGTTCAATTCACGTAGTTTTACTATTACTTTGATTGCCTTGTGACACGGTGCGTTGTCTTGATGTAACAATTTTTTTTTGTCATATGCGGTTCAATAACGCCTTAAAATATTCACTGTTGATGGTAACTACCTTCTCAAAATAGTCGATGGATATTACAACGCGCATATCCCACTCAAGAAATTTCTTTTGATTCCGGAGTGAAGTGATGGATTCATGTTTCATTCATTGTCACATATGAAGGCAAAAATTCCGGTTTGTCATTTTTGAATATGGCCCAACACTGCTCAGAATCATCAGTCGTTGCAGAGACTTCGAAATACAACTATCGTCCCCGCAGTCAACGCACATACAAGTGATGATGTCTGCCGCAGTAGCACACGAAACGTTTGGTACTTCAGGTTCCATTCGACCACGGGCTAATTTTTAGTGAATTATTTTTTCAGGGGTGCACCACTGCTCTAACTTATCACGGCTGATATCGTCGAATTTCAACAAATTAACATAAAACGTAAATAAATTATGCACATGAATCTTTCTCTTTCATGACTCCAGACGGTGAACACTGTATGGAAATCCGTTTGGTTGATCATCATCTGAAATATTTTTCTGGTCTTTTCAAAATGGAATGTGTTAGTCAATTAATTAATATTTTGAATATTTTCTCAAAACCACAAAATATATTTCATCACAATTTGGCAAGAAGAGATCCCCATCATATTGAATGTTCACCATTTTCCTGAGCGATTTAACTTGACTTATTTTTTTCCTGAGTTGAACAAGGTAAATAATATTACTGATTTTTTTTTCCAACACCAAACCGTTAATTTTAACACATTGACACGTGTTTCGATCACCAAGTGATCATCTTCAAAAGGAAGATCAAACTGATTTTCCTCTTGATCACTTGGTGATCGAAACACGTGTCGAGGAAGATCAGTTTGATCTTCTTGAAGATGATCACTTGATGATCGAAACACGTGATGAGATGCTAAAATAACGATTTGGTGTTGAAAAATACTCTAGTAANCTGATATGAAAGGTACTTCAATCACGATACCAGAAACTTTCGATCCAGTTTTAGGTTCAATATCAGGTTTTCCGAAATAATTCCACATTTGATGAAGTGTTGAGAACTCATTATTGAATCCTTCTTTGATCAAAATCGCATCATAGGTCTGGAATTTCGTTAAAGTATCTTCTCCAATGAAGTTGATGAAAGTTTTGTTATCCATAACGAAATTGGACTGTGCTTCCTAAAATGGTATAGAAATCATATTATAATCAACTGGGTAGGTACAAAAGCGAAAGATATACTCACTTTATTAAGTTCGTTCAGTTTTCCTAGACACTTTGAAAAATCTATCGCATTCGGATTGAATGGAAATAACCCACATGCTTTGAATCCGTGTTCTAGGGTCTCTGGCTTGACAACTTCGGTTACAGCTTTTTCTAATAGTGCAAAAGTCATTTTATTTAGAACTTGTCCTGGATTTTTCTCGTAAAATTCCTTGACAGCTTTCTTCCACCCCACTTTTATGGGCCTAAAAACGCTACGTCGCATGGTTGCAGAATTCTAGTTGCATTTGGATACAACGCAATTACTTCAATATTCAATTTATTGCAGAGTAGGCTGAGTTCGTAAGTTAAGTGGGACTTAGGTCCATCAAGAAATAATAAAACAGGGAACCTGACATTTTTTGTCAATCAAATGGGGATGGAATATGTTTTTTATGTAATCGTAGGAAGTTTCGGAGGTCATCAACCATTATCCGATCGGCCAATTCCCCAAGTGGGATTCACTGCATGTCATTTCAGTGGCAGAAAAATAAAACATCACGGTGATGCTTTCTTTTTGGAATCCTTTGTCAACAGTGTGAACGTTTTTTACGCCTTTTCCAGCAAAAGCTTTACCAGTGCTTGGACAGATTTGGAAGCCCGTTTCATCTCCATTGAATATTCGAGACGGATCCTGCAAATCTATATTTTTAGACGTCAAGTAGCGTTGTATCCCAATGAACCACTTCCTAATATCTACTTCTGAAACACAAGCACTTGCTGAACTCACTGGCTCACTAGTTCTCTGAACAATTGTGGGATGTCTTCTACGGAAGGGCTAAGTAGAATTAAAAAATCAAAATAACAAAAAGATGAAAGAATCAGTTCATTTCACCTTGAACCAACAATCACCGGGCCTATGATTTTTGCATGGGTGAAGACGTGGATTCTCTATTAAAAAATGTTGAACACTATTCATGATATCGTCTTTTTTCTTGGAAATCCTCGAATTGCCAGTTCTTCGATCCACCTTGAGAAAAGTATGTTCAATTTAAAAACATGTCAATACAAAAATTGTTAAACAGCGTACTTTACCAGCTTCAATTCCTCTCCCAATGTCAATATAGGAGATGGGCCGCAAGTCTCCTTATGTCCAAGATTCTTTAATTTGAACTCCAATGTTGATTTTGGCACGTCGTATTTTTTGCGGCTGCTCTTAATGATATCTCATTGTTCTTAAACTAATTTTTAGCAGACTCCATAGAGTTGGCATCATAAGGGCTTCTCCTTGGCATTATTTACTAGTGAATAAAACCGCTGAAATGGAAATTTCAGTTATTGGACACATTATTAACCATTTATTGGACAAGTGTCCGATAACTGGTTGGAATGAAAATATTTGAGGAAATCTCACATTGAATGAATCAACGTGAGAAGGCGGTAAAACTGTTGAATAAACTTGAAGAAACCTACCAAGATCAGTTATAGGACAGGTGTTCAACAATCGAAATTAGTGGGTATTTTCTTTCAGTTATTGGACACCCACAAAACATAACTCAGCTCCACTTACCGAGGTCTACAAGTTGTAAAACTTACCTTTTTTCACAATGAAATACACATGGAATTTCTGATCCCACAAATCTCCTTCAACGGAACTAAGTAGCACAATAATGTATCACGAACTTCCTTATCAGAAGTTGAATCGTTATAGTCGCTATTCACACATCGGTAAAACTCAAAGTGATAAAAGTGATGCCAAATAACAGAAATGCTCCATGCATCGCGGTCAACAGCAATGACATAACAATATATGGTGCCATCTCTAGAGTAAAAGATGAACTGAAAGGTAAAGTAGGAATCTTGTTTTCGATTATTATAATCCAACTGTCTAATAACTACCACATGCCCAATAACATGCCCTACAGGCACAATAACACCTACAGGAACAATATGATGAATAGGCGGAGTATCAGCCAAGGCTGTTTTTCAACACCAGTCGAGTTGACAATATCAAAAAAAATTATTTATTGTTTACTTTAGAATATTCATTTTAGAAATGCCATGGTCGGGAACGGTCAAGAGGCTAATGAGTTAAATAAGTCTTCAGTCTTTTTTTTAAGTTTACGATGGTGTATGATCGAAATTCGCAGGGTAGTTGATTATAATATTTGGGTGCATTATACGAGAAGTAGCGGGTGAAGATGGAAGATTTGTGTTTGGGGATGACTAGAACTGAAGTGTTCCTTGTAGTGAAGCTGTTAATCGTAGATAATGTTCTAAGCTTCTTCAGTAAGTGATCAGGTTGTCGAGTTATCAAAACTTTATGTGTTTTGGTGTAAGAAGGTGTAGATTTCTAAGTTTCTCAACATTTAACTATCCTGATTCTTGCATTGCTGGGGATATATGGTCATATTTCCGAATACCAAACGAGAAACGTAGACAGCTATTCTGAATACGCTGTAGTTGAAGAGCATCCAATTGTTTCAAAGCAGGTCCATAAATACTGTCGTAATAGGAAATTTTTGACATAATCAGTGACTCGCATAGTCTAAGTTTTGAGTTTGTGTTGAGCAAATTCCGATTAAGAAAAAGCTGTCTGAGAACATTATAAGAAGATTGGTTCAGATAGCTGACATGTTTAGTAAAGCGAAGATCCAGATCAAACCACAATCCTAAATTCTTCATCTTGTCCACTGAGGGAAGTACATCGTTTTCGATACGAACTTGAAAAGTAGAGTTGGTGAGCTCTCTGTTCTTCTTAGTTCCGAACATCATTATTGCGGACTTGTCAGAATTGAGCTTGAGCTTATGGGCAGTAGAAATGTCAAAGATGGCTTGGAGATCGTTATTTATATACGACAGAGCAGACGTAGACACGCCGGGCGAAAAAAAAAATATATCTGCGTGTCATACACAACAGCTTTTTGAGTACGATTCTTCAGATAGTTTTCTAAGAGAGACACTGCTTTCCGAAAAAAACCGAAGTAGACAAGTTTGTCACACAATATCTCATGATAAAGAGTGTCAAGTGCTTTGCTGTAATCTAGAAGTATCAAACAGGTCAAATTTTGTTCATCTGCAGCTTGAAGAATATCGTCCGTAATTGACAGAAGAGCTGTGGTGGTACTCTGCTGAGGTCTGAATCCTGATTGTACAGATGTTATAATATGATTTTCATTGACGTACTCATTAATCTGATTTTTCAGAATCGATTCCACTACTTTAGAGAGATACGGTAGAATTGTAATTGGTCTTAGGTCAGAAAGGACAGTAGGTGAGTTACACTTAGCCAGAGGGATAACCAATCCATCCTTCCAACGTTTTGGAAATTGGCAACTGGTAATGATATAGTTAATGAGAAAGGTGAAGTGATTCATCAAAAAAGAGTCAATCAGATTGATCATTTTGAAGAATATCCCGTCAGAACTCAAAACGGTACTCTTGATGTGTCTAAGGGAGCTTCGCACAATCTCACAGGTGACTATGACAACATTAAGAATGTTGTCATACAATCCACGTTATCGAATTGATAGATCAGATCCCACTGAATATTCAGGACGTCTAAACGAAATAGATCGAAGTCGAAGTTACGATAATCGCGAAAATAAACCATTTCAACTCTTCTAGAAGATACAGAAGCATTAATTTTGCACATCACCGACAGATGATCTGAAATTCCCTGAATATTATTCACATCCACATCTAATATTCTTTCCTTATCAGAGACAAGGACGATGTCAATAAGGGATTGAGAGTGAGCAGTTATTCGGTTAGGATTCTCTATAAGCTGATGAAGATCGCACGAATTTATAAAATCTGTAAGGAGTTGAGAACGCCGGTCGTGAGTTAACAGGTTGATATTAATATCGCCGGCAGCCAGCAAAAAATCACATGAAGGAAGGTTGGCCATGCTGTCTTTGAGTTCGTTTGAACATTGGATTAAATCAGCTGAAGGGGGTCGGTATAATACTCCAAAAACGAGAGTTTTACTTTTGTGGGTTGTTGAGAGCCACAACTGTTCAAGATGAGAACTTATATAACTAAAGAGTGTTTTGAATTTAATAGAGTTATTGATGTAGAAGGCAACTCCTTCAACAAGATATACAAACATGTAAAGATTAAGTGTTCCAAATTAATATCAGTTTTCATTTGTATTTTGTTCAGTCTAGAATTACTATCAAATAAAGAAAAACTTTGTTAAATTTTTCAAAATTAGAGTATTGAAAAACTGATTCATTAACAAATCATGAAGATATCATCATAAAACAAACAACAGTTCAATTCACTCTTGTTGTAGTGATGATATATAAAAGTTACAACTGTAACCTCTGGCGAAAAATAAATTCAAAAGGAGTACCGTTAGTTTACTTCATTTCTTGAAGACGCTAACCTGGTTGATGAAACTCGCATAGAGAAGATCAAACCTAGTTTTCTTTAGACGAATAATGTTTTGAAACATTTTTTTTCTATTGTCAAATCCGAAACAATTCACTTTTGAAGTACGCCTGAATTGCATGGAAACAGGTATCTTTCCGTTGTTTTTTCATCAGAGGACTTTCCATTGATTTATGTGATATTTTTGTTTTGATTCATAGAAATTATGTTCATTTAGATTTTCCAGTACCTATTTAAGTGATATCTCTTACTTCTTTTCATAAATGTTAATTCAGATCTACGTAGGTATTATCATTTTGAAAATATTCATTACAATCTTCTTTCAACTTATATTTTCTTGATCATCCTGAATATATAAGGATGTGATTTGTTGAGGAGCACAGACATTTTGTTAGAAAGTCCTTATTTTGTGGAGTGTCCACGAAACTTTAATTTCTCACAGATCCGAAAAAATCGTTATACAAGTCAGAAAGTATCTTGCCTCTATACAAGTTATTTTTTCATACATCACAATGTTTTGTTTTTTTTTTTTTAATTTTGAAACCCCATGAATGATTGTTTTCAAGACCATTGATCTGGGGACATACTTTCCGAAATTTTTTGGGAAATGGAAGCGAATAATGCTATCCTTTCCTCTCTAGAGGTCATTCAGGTTCAGTCCAAGTTTTCAATTCTAAATAGACATGTTTTTACTAATTTGAATGGATTCCGCTTGTAATGATGAACTTAACCAATCATACGACATGGACAATGTTTGTACAATCGACCTGCATGTGCTCTGTGAATGCGAAGCTATAGCAAGGCTGAGACACGCAAGATGCGGGGAAGAGAAACTAAAGGCTGCCAGCTATATGAAGGGGTCAGTGTCAAGGCTATGTAGTCTCATCAAAGAGATAAAGCTATACAATGAGCTCTAACAACCAAGGTCGCAGTGAATCAG